TTCCTAGGGCCCCCAGAACTTGTGAAGGCTGCTCAATGCACATCCACCAATTTTTCTCCAGCCTATTATGAAAATAGGACCCCACTGATCAAGCAACATTATTTCTATGATCCTACTGGGCTTCACACTTGGGGTAGAAGCACTTGCCTCGATTTGAAACTCACAGACACCGAGAGAATTTGCTGATTGCTAATGAGAAAAGCCGAGGTTTCGTTGTTACCATCTGGGACCTTCCTGCTGTGGGCTGATAGAGGGATGGGAGCTGACATAACACGCCGTGTGAAGGAGGCAGTGACTTTGTTATGGGTTCTGTATAACTTTTCATGTCTGCTGTATGCCAGGAGCTTAGCCCGAAACACCTTTTTTCCAGAATATGAAACATAATATCTCCATGCTCATTGCATTATTTAAAAAGGGGCAATGTGGTTCATAACTTTACATTTATTGCATACTTTTAAGCCACTTGACCCATATAAATATTGCTATAGAGTTGCCCTCAGTTATTAAATTCTTATTGCTTATAAAAGGGGCAACAGGAAGTATATAACCACCAGTGGAAGGTGTGGGGAGGACGGGGAGGGGGCGGGAGACCTCGAAGGGGGTGCGCCGGTGGGGGGAGTCAGGCAGGGAACACATTGCTTTCCATTCTGTTCTCTGCTTTCAAGCCTGAAATTTGATTTGATTTTTTTTTTTCTTCCTCGTTGTCGGCAGAGCCTGTTTGACTTTAACTCAAAGAATTACGTATTGACATGGCAAGCGACATTTTGCCTTTCTACTAATTAAAATGGAACCCCACTCTTAAAAGAAATTGCTTGAAAGAATTTTTTATTTCTTCAGCACAGCTGAGACCAGATAAAAACAGGGCATCAACGTTTATCAGGGTTCAAATTCGAGTCTCCTGACTGTGAAAGGGAGCAAACTGCGTCTTCGTTGTCAGCCTCGTGTTCTTATTAACGCTGCCTCCCTTGGTCTCCTGGTCCTTCTAAGATGCTTGCCGGCTTCTGCCACGTCGTGCACCTGCCCGGGACCCATGCCCACGAAGGCAATCTCCGGGGGTGGGGAGGCACCTTTTGAAAATGACAGAATGACCATAAGCACATGCAGACACCTCAAAGCAGTTCAACAGAGGCGGTGTCCTGGAGGCAAGCTCCCTGAACGTCCGTGTGGGACCCCTCGCTGGGGAGCCCTCCATGTGCAGGACACCGGCCGGAAGGAGCCTGTGTGGTCATCTCCAGCAGAGAGTGCAGGTGGAAACAACGGGCTTCCCAGGCTGAGATGGAAACAGGCTTTCTCGTTTGGGTGTGTTCTGTTTGCACATAATAGAAATTCCTCCCACCTAGCTCCAAAGCAGCGCGTGGGGCCGGGAGGGGTGCTCACAGCATCTATGTCCCTTGCATATCGTGGGCATCTCCGGCCACGCATTAGCACGGGTGATTTCACTTCCCCTTGCTTAGGGCAGAACCTCTCCACCCAGAGGTTACCGCTGTCAACCAAGGACCTTTTTCCTGCTGTCAGTGCTTTCAGAGATGAAGAGAAAGATTCCCCTTAGCCTACAGCATTTAGCACGCAAGCCCTCCACCACCGCCTCGCAAAGCCACAGCAATCCTGAGGCCAGCCCGCGACCTTCCAGCTCCGTGACAGGACAGTAATCCCTGGAGCGGAAGCCACCTCCTCTGATATTTGGAAAAGTGTCATGTTTTCTTTATAGAGAAAACTGTCAGGTTGTTGCTGGCATAAAATGCAACACTTCCTGGATTGTGCTCGGATTGTTTGCCCTGAAATGTCACCCGGGCACATGACACGCTTGTGTTTTGCTCACAGCCCCCTCTGCACCTGAGGTTTTCGAATGGCGTGGGGAGAACCAGCTCTGCACCTGGAGATGCAGCTCCTGCAACTGCAGCTCCTCCGCTTGCTACAGGTGCCAGGTTGGCAGGGGAGAGGCCCAGCCCACCGAGCCGATCCCTCGTTGAGGCTGGATGATCCCGCAAATGGATGTTTATCTTTTGCCGGGCTCCTTAGATGACCTGATGATCAGCGGTCCCCCATCTCGGGGACCTCATGCCTAACGATCTGAGGTGGAGGGGATGTAATAATAATAGGAAGAAAATGCATAATAAATGTAAGGTGCTTGAGTCATCCCTCCCCGGTTATCCGTGGAAAAATAGTCTTCCAGGAAGCCAGTCCCTGGTGCCAAAAATGTTGGAGACTGCTGCTCTAGAACAGAGGTAGGCAATCATTGACCACGACTGGCCATACTACTTTAAAAGAAATAGAGAATAAAGTGTGACTAACTTAAAAAGGCCACCACCAACCACCCATTGGGCTGGCTGAACCAGGCTGCGATTCCTCAAAGGGAATAGACGGCTCAGGTCAGGGGTCACCTGGGCACTTCCCCCACAACACATCCTTGTAATCCAGCCGGTGTACTGCGGTTAACCTTAATCTCCCATCCTGGGTAATACTTATTTGTAAATTCCCTTTTCTTCCCCCACTCCTGGGTACTTTTCTTAGAGGCCCATGGCAGGATTTATACTTAATAAATAGTGAGTGATTTAGGTGACATGAGAAAAAAGCTTGAGGAAATATAGTATCCAAGTTATTTTTTTTTCCTCTTTTTGCTCCTTTGAAGACCTAAAATAAGAAAAATATGTCCTTCTTCAAGTCTTATGTCTTGACAGACAGAGGTGCAGACATTTAAATAATGTCTTTTTTGCTGTTGTGAATTTAGCACATAAAAAGAACGCAAAAAAAAAAAATAACTGTCTAAAAAAGGGATCCTACAGAATTCAATTGAATATCTAAAAGTGTGTTGTCGATAAACAGAATTCCCTTTCAGGAGTTTTTCAGCAGCCCTACAAGGTACTACACTGTTTGGTTAAAGAAGCAAGTAGAATCCTCTCCTCCAGATGACAAATGCAAGAAAAATCCAACCCCTGCGACTTACTGGTTTCCCAGAACTTTTGCACTAGAGGTTGGAGTCAAGTGAAAAATAGAAATAAAACAATAGCACAACCACGGGGAGGCTTTATCCCTCAACCATGTCATCTGGGAGTGTTTCAGGCCACAGTGAAAAATACATTCTCATCCTGAGCTGACAACTCAGTCATTTAGCTCTTAGAATGCAGATTTAAGGATGCAGCTGAAAACCGAGCAACAGACAACACTGATGGCAAAGGTGTTTTGTTTATTTTTTTTAACAGTTTGTATGATATGAAAAATATGTTGTGCAAACTGAGAAGATTCCTTAATTGCCACCAAGCGCGCCCCTGTCTACGGGGAGTGCAGCCGGAAAGCTCTGTGACTCTGCGGTTAGGGCAGAAGTGGAGGATGCCTTCAACTCTTTGTGCCAAATGCACTCGGAGACTGAAAAATACAGACCCTGCTCGCATGCCTTTCCCAGAGAGGAAATTAATGTCTTGCACTTACACACATACAAATTGCAGCTCTGGACACTGGCCCTTCAGGATGCTGCTTCTGGATTTTGGTAACTGGCCTTTTCTGCAGATTTCCATCAAATACAAATTAGGAAGTGCAAGGGAATGTGTCTTTAGTTTATTAGGACTTTCGTTAAGTTTTCTGTTCTTCTTGTTTGTTTAGTTTTGTCCATCTTTTTCTCCATTGTTGTCCAAATAAAACTGCTTTCTGCTGCAGCTACCAAGTCTAACCAGAGGCCAGCGGTACCTTGGAAGGCAAAACCCCTGACATGGTACAGAGAGCAGTACCTTTGACCTGCAGCCGTCTGCAGCAACATTGCCTATTTCAATGTCATTAGGACCATGCAGTTTACAACTTGTTACTTCCATTCATAAGAGAGCAGTCGGGTGATTTCTTCCGGGCATCTGCTGATGGCTTTCCTGATATTTTAGGGGGGGGCTCAAACTGTGATGGCCTAGAGGATCCGGAGACTTACAAAGCCCACTGCGAACACCTGACGGGGCAGAGCATGTGTCACCCAACGCTGAAACTGTTTCAAGAACGGATTTCATCTCTAATCTCTCTTCCGAAGTCAGAAATGATTTCAACAGGAAGGACCTATGACTGTATGAATGGATGCCTCTTAGAATGCAGAGGCTTTCCTGTATTTCATTTGGAATTGAACTGTGGACAGCCTTTGGCAGCTTCGTATAAAAAGATTCATGTTTTGTCCTCGTGGACAATATCATCGGTCAGGATGCTCAGGGCATAGATACAGCTGCTGAAAGTCCTGCCCAGAACATGCTTTTCATAAGGATAAAAATACACATTCACCAAATTAGGTGTTTTCACTTAAAAATATGAGCAATCCTTCCCTTTTGCAGCAACCTGAGTATTTCTAATGGAGGGCAAGAGCAGTGTTTCAGAGCTATGTTTATATTATGCTTAGCTGACTGTTGTGATCATGTAACTCACTTCAAACTTAAAAAAAAAAAAAAGAACTGCAGGAAAAAATTAACATTTTTTTCCCCTTGAACATTTTAAGGCAAGCACCTACCTTCTAATGGCAGAACTTTATTTTCTTCCTTATAGTAATATATAGTACTGAAATTCCAAAGGTTTCTGGTGCATTTCAGCTGTCACCTCAAGTCAAAACCATGGAGTTCAGCTATAAAAGAATATAATAAATTTAACCTGACCTAACTGGAGATTTTTAAGCAGCCAATTTTTTTTAATTGTGTATCTGTGAGCTCCCTATGCCCACATATAATTTTTTTTTTTTTTTGTCTGGTTCTTTCTTGAAACTTGTGTACCTATGTGACATTATCTCTGCTTAAATGAAAATGCTTTCAAAGATTTTAAAGGGAGATGCCATTTTGGAAGAAAATGCAATTCAAAAAGAAACTTTGCAGGAGTGTTTTAACCTCGCCTGCAATCTCCTGAATTTTCACTGGAATTCTGTCCTGGGCAACTATTGTTGGAGCCTGTCAGGAGGCATCTCCCTGTCCAGGAAAAGTCTAAGGACCGTGCCCTGGGTACACAAGACCCTGGCCCCCAGCCCAGCCCGCTCGCTATTTAACGCTCACCGGGGTGATATTTTACACACCGAAGTAAACTTGCGGCACTCCAGTTCAAATGTAATCACTGTTTTGTTTATGCAGCCTTTGTAGATTGAGTCTTTGTTAGGCGAGCACGTCTTGTTTCCCCAACACCCGAAATCCTCGGCATCAGACTGCCCCCCAAAGGCAGCCCAGGAAATGCGCAGGGGCGCACTGACCTTTAGCGAGACAGCTAAGGTTATGCACATAACATTTGCTTGTTTACTTTGCAAAATAAGCAACGAGTTGGAAACTCCGAGCTTCGCAGGCTGCCTCCTCGCACTTAAAAAACAACTCGAAGCGAGGCAGCCGGTCTTTCCAGCTCCAGCGCAGAGCCCGGATCGGCTTTGCTCTGCATCTATCCTGATGCAACTTTAATAACGTTAGCCGAAGCTGCTCAGAAAATCACAGCTGTAGCTGGAGGCAAAGAGAAAAAAAAAAAAAAAAAGAGGGGGGAAAAATCCGCTAAAACGAGGTGCTGCTCCCCAGCCTCACCTAGGAGCCGGGTGGCGCTGGGCGTGCGGAGAGGCCGGGGCCCGGATCGATGGCTGCAGCGGGCTGATGGCCACTGGTCGTTTTGATGGATATGACTGTAAAAAAAGTCCAGATTGGTTCACCGTGGACCTCAAACCGTGTCAGCTAAAACCAAAGAGACAAAAAAAGTGACAGCTGTGGAGACCGCACTGCAGGCAGTCAACGGCGCCTGTGATTTATTGTTCCATCTGCCTCTCGCTGCGAGGACAACTTCCCCCTGATTTGGTTAAAATGAAAAGGACCTCAGAGAGCGCAACGTGGGTTTTGAAAATGTGCAGAAACTTTTTTTTTATTTCCTGATTTATGTCCCTCTCGCCCTCCAGAAAGTCTGCATGATGCCCCCCCACCCCCCCAACCCCCGCCCCCGTGGGGGAGTTCGGCTTAAAGGAGGAGTTCCCGCCCCCCCCCCATCCCCAGGGCAGCCTGATTTGGGGGTCTGGGGCTCAGCGTCCCAGTTCCTGCCAGGCAGCAATGCTTCAGAGGGGGCGCAGAGGCTACAGGGGTGGGGGTGGAGTGCGGATCAGCGGGGACCCTGGCGCCGAACCCCAAAGATGGGGCGTCCCATCCCGGCAGTGTCCTCCCCAAAACCATCATTCCCTGGAAGTGCAGCCTCCCTGGTCCTCGGATTCTAATAAAAGTTTTTATGCCGGTCAGCACATTTTCAGCCAATTTCCCATGAAAAGGCCTGTTGGTTTCCATGGTGCATAGAAAGTTCTGCGCGCCCCCCCCCCACCCCCTCCCCAGACCGGGCCCTCTGGAGCCCTGACCCAGTGGCCAGCACTTCCTGGCTGGAGGTTTCAGGCCTCCCAGGTCCAACCTGGTGTCAGAAGCTGGCCTGTCTTCTGTCTCAGGATGTTGGTTTTACCTCTCAAGTGTTTCCTGAATTTGTGAAAATTCTTTTTCTAGCCGTTTGTCCATAGTGGATTCATGCTCAAAAAAAAAACATTTACCTTTTTTTTCCAATTTTTTTTTTTTTTGAGTGCGAAAAAGAAAAGAGGATGGAGGTGGGGGAGGGGACTGGGAAAGGGGCAGGAAGAGGGAGAAAGAAAGAGCGGTCTTGGCAGCTACCGTGGAGCAGGGGCTGCCCCCAGGGGCCGGTTCTACTTTTGGTACATGTTTCTGTCAGGCCGGGGTCAGTATCTTTTACCTCTTTTTTCCATTATTCAAAATAAGTATTGATGTTATGTTTTAGCTATTTAAAAGCCAGCTGCCTTGCTCATTTCAGATGCTTTTCCTGGTATGATTGTATGTGGTAATAGCTGGTCTGTGTATCGTCTTTCACAAAATCTAGCCTTTCAGAGCCTCGGTCTTCAAATGATATCAATCAAAATTTATGCAATTCAAAATCCATATGTATAGAGTCCCAGTTCACCTCATTTCATGATAATAGTAAACCACATGTTGTGTCCATGTCTAAAACACTTTTCTCGTTCTTGACTGTGTTAACCCTAGGGGCACCCTGTTCTGTACGGCTCGCCCGACGGAGCAGCATAATACATTGATTAATGCTTGGCAACAGCGGAAACCTTGAATAATAAAATGGTGAACAAGGTAAATGCAGACTAATAAAACACGGAGTGTGTCAATAATATTTGAAGATGTTTGTTAACATAAACAACCCAGGAAGACCTAAGGGGCAGTGGAAGCCAGTTAATCCTGATGTACAGGATCGTGTCTTATTAACTGTTCTTAAGGGTGATCTTCTTTCGAAACAGACGTAGTGACCTGTGGAAAATAAGCTATTTGGTCCTGCAGGGCCCTTCCGTGAGTTCTGAGCTCCGAGGAGGAGGAGACCTCTGCCCCCTCTCCTCGGTCTGGGTCTGGGCAGCTCTGAACTTGGGCCTTGTCGCTTCTGCACTTGTGCGTGGAGCAGAGGGTGGGAAGGAAAAAGTGAAATGACCATGCAATTAGTCCATCATTATCCTACCTTAATCCTAGGTGGGAAAAATTTAAGTGGGGTTTTTGAGAGTTCATTTGCATTAGCTTTGAGACCTGGTCAATCTAATACTGAGGCTTCTTTTAAAAAGATACAGCGGATAAGTAGGTGCTTCACAGAGAGATTATTAATTCGCTACACTTGGGTGGGACCTTCTATAGACATACTGGATCCCTGCGCAGACCACACAGATGTACGTGCTCTTTAAGTGACACGATCCTTCATCTGATCTGTTTTTATCAGAGGCAGAATTGGTAACTGTTGCACCATAGTAGTTGCCTCTGACAGGATGCATAATATACATTACAAATAAGATTTGTTTTCATGAAAAAGCATTAAAACAGTTGGCAAGGGGAGAGCTGAGCCTTGTCCTTAATTTGTTTTGGCGACTCTGAAAAATAGAGGTCATTACACACACTCCTCCATTCCAGACATACAACGAGGAACAAATATTTTAAGAAAATTGAGATACAATTAAAAATACCACCGTGTCTTCAGGACCTAAAAGGCAGGAGAGGCGCTCAGTGTGACTCTCCCGCTGCAGTGATCCCGGGTCCACGGAGTGGATTTTACAAGGAACAGAAAATTAGGGATGAAGACGGAAAAGATGTCTTTTGGAAATCCTTTCAAACACACAACATAATGTCAATGATTCAGCATCGAACTAAATCGGTTTCATTTTTTTTCCGCCCTGAAAGCAAGCCTTTCTGAAGCACCTACATGTCTATTCACTTTTCTGTCCTGTGTTATCAGACATTTATATGAAAATTAATACTGAAAAATTAAGCCCCTCTCTTGTTTTGATTGAATGCGATCGGTTCCTCAAACCACAAGGTGAAAAAAGCAGTGAAGACTGCAGTGTGCCTTCCTTTCTCTGCCCTCCAAGTGAGCCAAGCCAAGGCAGGAAAGCTGTTGACAAATTAATACTTTAAGAAAATAAACTCTAGTCGTGTTCAACACAGAGCAACTTTATCCTGATTAATTTGTGTTGGAGGTTCTCCAGCCCCCATTCACAAAGCCCCGCAGTTTGTACAAATGTAATTTCCTAATATTTACATGAGGAAAGCCTCAGCAGTTAAGCTTTGCCTCCAATGTGAGTTTTGTGGTTTGTAAAAAGACAATAAAAATACAGAGAGGTAATTGTAAGCACATTTGAAAGAGAAAGGAAAAAAAGAAAGGATTTTTCTCTCTCCTTCTCCTCCCCTAGCCCTATAAAAAATGGGCTGTGTGTACAGATGCTTAGAAAGAGAAGCCAGTTCAGCCAGCAGAGTTTTAAGTAACGTAACACCTAATACCCAACGTCTTCCTACAGCTAACGAGCTCCTAGAACACCCACCGTTGTTCTTAACGTGGATCTTTTGAGTCCTGACATAATTCATCTTTGTCCATCTACACCGATGGTCTTGTCATTTTTTGCTTTTATTTATTTCGTACGTTAGACACTTGCTTGACTGTCTGGTTTAATAAATAGGAAAAAAGGGAAAATGCAGTGGTAATGTGCTGCTTTGTTCTGAGAATATTAAAAAAATAACCTTTCGTTTTAATGAGATTTTCCCCATCAGTTTACACAATTTTCCAGATGCAAAATGAGCTTTTGGCTGTAAAATATTTTATCACATTGTCTTACACAATAAAGATTAGATGTTTTCTCTCTCTCAACTGCACTGCAATTATTTTTTAGTGTTTGCAAATCATAATATCATTTAAAAACCATATTTTATACCTCATCTAAAATACTTTTATAGCAGTAGGATGAAAAAAAAATAACATCTATTTAACTACTCTTTTTAAGTGGCTGTTATGTGCTTTAGTATAATTTCCCAGGAAAAGGCAGAGCTAAAAAGCTTAGCTTTTCTTGAAAACATATCTCTCAAGCAACATCTTTGCAAAAATCCCTAGAATTTAATTCCCCCGACTGGAAAGCCCAGAGTGCCTGAATGTAAAAATAGTAGCCCTGTCATTTCACATTCATTAAGTGTGAAACTCAGAAATTAATAATGTAAAAATATGCTTTTTAATTAGTCTTACATTCTGCCCAATGTACTTAAATGGGATCAGCGGCTCCCTAATGATTTTTTTCTTAATAAAGTATTAGCCTGTGATGCACCGACGTTGACAGGTATGATAAACTGGAAAGTTCTTTTGGAGGCGTATGAATGATACCAAAATAGTACTCACCCATTTAAATGTAATTAACATCAGGGAGCAATATTATAAGAAGAAAAGCCTGCAAGATTTTTATTCGGTTTTTTTTTTTCATTTCTTATTTTATGAGTAGTTTGATGATTGCAGCAGTGATTTTATAATTTAATTACCTTTGCTGAGAGCTAAGCTTTCACTAACAGCAGGTCAACAGGACCATAAAGCACTCTTCAAAAATATTAAAAAGAAAGTTAATTTTTTTCAATGGGCTATTCAAGTGTCATATATTTAATTTATTTATATGTGTGCATGAACATATATGTGTGTGTACTCATATATGTATATATAGAGAGATATACATAGATAGATAAAGATATGCAGATGTAAGCATACCGTGTGTCTGTTCAGGAAATATTTCATTTGCGGTGATGAGGACCATTGGGAAGAAACTTGTAGTTACTTGTCCTCTGAAGCGAATTGAAGGCAGAAATCCTTAAACACTTCAGTTTGGGGAAAGACAAAAGAAGACCCCCCAAAGAGTGTGTTTGATCAACACATAAATATTAAGTCACTGCTGAGTAAGGGACTCGGGTTAGGGTTGGGTTTTCCTCGGATGGACAGCGTCCAACACACAGCAGCGACTTTGCGTGGTGCTGCTACTTTACGTCACCGATAATAAATGGGAAATAGGGTTCTGAACACATTAGCGTGCTTTCTGTCTGTGTCGTTTACTAGAAGACTTCCACGCAGATCTCTGAGTTTCTGAGCCAAATGGTGGTCCCTCTGCACTTGGTAAATATGAGTGACACAGCATGTAAAATACGACAAAATCCAAAAAGTCTTGAACAAACCCCCCTTAGAGAGAGGGCAATGGAGACCAGATTTCATACTGATTCTGGGAGGATTCCTGGGAGCCCATGGGATTCTGGGACCTTGCGTGACCAGTGTCCGATGGACATCTGTGGGTGACCACAGACTCGACGCAGTGACTGAAAACCAGCTCACACTCTGTCCACCTGGGAAGCTGAGCAATGCCATTTTTTAATTAACCTCAAGAACAAAAGATGAAACCTGGTATGCCCTGATAACCTCTGTTGAGCATGATAGTATCTATATTTTTGTTTGTCCCAGAATCCAACTAGAATCTGAAGAATGCAAGGTCAGACCTTTGGCCAGCTTCTATACAAACTCCATAAGCAAAGCCTGTCTGTTTGCTAATACGATGTGCGCAGTCTGGTTATTCTGAATTTGCATTGAATTTTGCTTATTGATACACTCCTTCCCGTACACTGACCAGCTCTCAATACTTATTGTAACCCCTTAAAGAGAAGGTATAACAGCCTGAAGGTATAACAGCCTTGTTGAGGGGACTGAATCCTTCATGATGGGATTTATGAAACTGTCATGATACTTACACACTTTTAGTATCAATCATTTCTCTATTTTATTTTTAGAACGAATAAGGGAGGTTGTGTAAAGTGTGCTAATTGTCACTCTTCTTTAGCATTCAGGGGAAGAAAACGTTGACTTGAAGCTCCACAAGGGAAAGTTAGGTATTTTTTGGTCCACTTTGCGATTCCCAGCTCCTGGCCCCATGCCAGCCCACAACGTGCATGGAGTGAAAGGCCGGGGGGCAGAGGACGCCGGGGCGAGGTCTCCTCTGCGAGCACGGAGCCTCAGCGTCCCCGCAGACCCAGTCCAAACCTCGAGAGGAGCTGTTTCCTTGGTGCTTTTCTAACATAACCATGGAAAGGCATCGTTCTGCACCACGTACCGAAAAGTCGCCACCAAGATAAAATTCCAGAGCGAGAGATGAATAATCCCAGAAAGCTAACACACAGTATGGTGATTACAGTCTGCAGACAGTAATATATACCCCCAAGTCAGGAAGGTAGAGCTTAAATTGTCTCAACACACAAATAACACATATATGTGAGGTGATAACAGTGTTGCTGATGCTAAGGTGCCCACATCACTTCATGGCAAATAGGTGGGGAAACAATGGGAACTGAGAGATTTTATTTTCTTGGGTTCCAAAATAATGCAGACAGTGACTGTGGCCATGAAATTAAAAGACACTTGCTCCTTGGAAGAAAAGCCATGATCAACCTAGACAGCCTATTAAAAAGCAGAGGCATTAATTTTCTGACAAATGTCCATCTAGTCAAAGCTATGGTTTTTCCAGCATGTATGGAAAAGCATACAGCAGTCTTGCATGGATGGGAGAGTTGGACTGTAAAGAATGCTTTTGAACTGTGGTGTTGGAAAAGACTCTTAAGAGTCCCTTGGACTGCAAGGAGATCCAACCAGTCAATTGTAAAGGAAATCAGTCCTGAATATTCATTGGAAGGACTGATGATGAAGCTGGAACTCCAAGACTATGACCACCTGATGCAAAGAAATGACTCATTAGAAAAGACTGATGCTGGGAAAGATTGAAGGCAGGAGGAGAAGGGAACAACAAAGGATGATATGGTTGGATGGCATCACTGACTCAATGGACATGAGTTTGAGCAAGCTCCAGGAGATGGGGATGGACAGGGAAGCCTGGCGTGTTGCAGTCGGTGGGGTCATGAAGAGTCAGACACGACTGAGTCACTGAACTGAACTGATCAAATCAACACATTGTATGCCTTAAGCTTACATGATGTATACTCAATTACATCTCAATAAAAAAAGAGAATTTCAAAAGCCAAGTGTTTTAGAGGTATCATGGGGTTAGAACCAGTCTTTTTTTTTACATCATGTTTATTTTATTTTATTTTACTGCATGCAGGGCATGCAGAATCTTAGTTCTCCCAACAGGGATTAAACCAATGTTGCCTGCAGTGAAAGCACAGAGTCTTAACCACTGGACAACCACGAAAGTCCCTAGAACTGGCCCTTAACAATTCAGGTGTCATTGGTTCCTAAACCAATGTGTGGATACTCTGTCTTCATTTCAGATACTCTCTGCTGGGTGTTTTATCATCAAGATGTTTCTGAGGATTAGCAATACATTCACCTAAAAACATGAATTATAGCTAATGCCACAGATTTCTCTTACCGTAAAACATTTTTTTCTTTTGCTATGTTAGAGATTTTTGTCCTTGCTAGTGATTCGTTCTGCCTTGTTGGAGAATCTTCAGAATGTTAACTAAATTTTTGACCAGTGATACTTTTCATTACCTTCATTGTTTCATGAAAATCTATACCAGAAAGAAGTCAGGCACTTGTTCATATGCTCTTGAATCAACTGCATAGATAAATCCTTAAAAAATATTTTCATTATCTGGGACTTTTCTAGAATATCACTGAACTTCATCTTGTTTGGAAATTATTAGAAATGCCATATTATTTTAAGGCTTCTTAATTGCATCCTATACAAAAATTAAAACCAGTTAAAACTAAATGAAAACCACCTGTGAATAAACCAGAGTGATATTTAAGAGCAGGTCATCAGTACATGATTATGGCCAGCGAAACAGATTCAATTTATTAAGCACTTTTTACCATGTCATTTATAGATTAAAAAAAAAAAAATGAGTTCAGAGAGTTCCAGTGACTTATCCAAGTCAGTTTCACTTCTAGAGGATTCTCAGAAGAGGTCATAGAGGCTGAGGGGCTTGAGTCAGCTGCTAAGGAGCCTCTCCACGGATGCTGGAGGTGGTCCGGGTGCTGGGGGTCTTCACCTGAAGAGTGCTGATAGCACGCATTTGGTACTGGGCCCTCCAACAGAGAAATCGTTGAGTATTATGATTTGAAAAGCATCTGTGATTGTCCCCTTTGCATCAAATGTATTTAGATACCCTCACACACGTGTGTGTGTGTTTGTGTGAGTCACTCAATCCTGTCCGACTCTTTGCACCCCCATGGACTGTAGTCCCCCAGGTTCCTCTGTCCGTGGAATTCTCCAGGCAACAATACTGGACTGAGTTGCTATTCCCTTCTCCAGGGCGTCTTCCCCACCTGAGAAACGAACCCAGGTCTCTCACATTGCAGGCAGATTCTTTGCCGTCTGTCACCAGGGGAGCCCACGTGACTCAAGGGCTGTGTAATTTAGGCAAGAGAAGTCATGTCAGCTTCAGCCCAGCTTGTTCCTGTTAACTTAACTGCAAGTTTAATTAAGGCAGAAATCTAAGAAGTAGTAGTGAAAAATGGTGTGACATTTGTTATATATATTTATATTATGCTATATCATATATCAAATTACTAATTTAGCTCCAGTGAGTTCTTTTAGTTCATTTCCTCTCCCTCATTGCTACTTTCTTTCCTCCTCCTTCCTTTCCTTTTTTCCCGCCATCTCTTCCTTCTTTCCTTCCTGTTTCTTTTTCTTTCTTTCCCCCCTTTTTTCCACCTTTCTTTCCTTTCTAATTCTCAGAGCCAGCTGTGAGGTTGATCTTGCTTGCTTCCTTTCTACCTGACTCCTTTCTTCTGCTTGGAAAATGTAGGACCAGACAATTGTTTTCTGGAAACTTCAGCGTCAAACTCATGGTCCACCAGGGCCACCGCAGGGCCCGACAGTCCATGCATCACAGCGGCTGCCGAGCCGCCCATCTCCCCGCCGGACAGGCCCTAGAGGCCATGAGCCCTCTGCTCACAGACCCGCTAGGCCTGTGGCTCAGGTAGACAGAACCTGCCCGCCGCCAGCCTGGCCTCACCTTCAAGGCCGCTCCAGTTACCAAAGTGTGACAGTCCCAAAGCACACCCCCTTCTTTTCATGGGTCCACCAAGGATTCCAGTTTGGTTGAGTGTGAAATGAAATCAGAAGCATTAATGGAGACTGAAAGACAAATCACTGAACACAATGGATGAAGCCATAGCACACGCCACTAAAATCAAAAACCCTGCTTCTCGGGGACGGGAGAGTCCCCACGCTGGGGCAGGGGAGCACGGGACGACGTGGCGGAGACGTGTTTCCTCCCCAGAAGGACTGGTGACAGCTCCCAGGACAGGCTCTCTTAATGGCCAATCCGTGCACTGGCACTTGTGCAGGAGCCAGAGGGACTGCTTGTTTACCGACTGGATGAAAGCGCATGCTGCAGGGTTAGCAACACAGGATCGAAAGGGACCTGGGAAATCTGATGGGCACACGTAAAGCACAAACCACTGCAAATGGTCCCGGCACGTGGATTCCAAGGATACAATTACCTTTTTTTCTTTCATACAAGTTTTTCTTTCGTCTCCAGAAAACTGCAAAGAAACAGGGTAAAGATATAGCGCAGTCCCCTCGGCTCTTTGTCCAGAGTGTCTCTTGGCTCCAGCCAAAGGGAGGGACCACCAGACCCACTGCCTACAGCTACACCTGCGCTCTCCCAGTCCATCCCACCCTGGACAAGATGAGGGAGAAGCTCACTGTGCTCCCAAATTCAGAAAGTGAAAGTCTGAAAGTGAAAGTCACTCAGTTGTGTCCAACTCTTTGCGACCCCATGGACTATACAGTCCATGGAATTCTCCAGGCCAGAATACTGGATTGGGTAGCTTCCCTTCTCCAGGGGATCTTCCCATCCAAGGATCGAACCCAGCTCTCCCGCATTTCAGGTAGAGTCTTTACCAGCTGAGCCACCAGGAAAGACCAAGAATACTGGAGCGAGTAGCCTATCCCTTCTCCAGTAGATCTTCCCAACCCAGGAATCGAACCCAGGTCTCTTGCATTGCAGGTGGATTCTCTGCTAACTGAGCTATGAGGGAAGCCCCCAAATTCAGAAACAAACCTGCATTTCAAATGGAATCTCAGGCTGGATATGCAGTATGACATTTAATTAAGAAAACAAATTCATTATTAGGTTTCACAACTGTCCAAACAGCGAAGTAAGCTTTGGGAGTTATGCAGTTGGTTCATTTAGACCATATCAAGGAAGGCTTGATAAACATACATCTGCTGTGTGTGAAGGGTAAGTGTATCACTCTTTAGCAATCAGTTGACACAGAAATAATGAAATAGCTTCTCCCAGAGCTGTGTTTCAGCAATGAGCATTTCTAGTCCTGAACTCCTTCTCCAAAATAGACCCCCACTTCAAGCATATAGAGAATGACTCCCTAAGAATCCTTCTGAAGATGCGAGACTCAGGGCAGAGTCTTAGCTACGGTTTTTTCCTCAATCGGCATTAGTTCTTACAATAATGGTGCTTACTGGACAAGCAAAGAGCACGCTGAGTGCGGGGTTTCCTCTTCATGAGGGCGACCCAATGTCTATGCATGTGTTGAAGGTCAGATCAGCTGTCTTCCAGCCCCGGAATTGCTACTGCACTCCAGATGATTTTAAAACGCAGGGTCACCGCTCTGCAGTACAAGCACGAGATGACCAAGCCCTGTGATGGGCAAGGAGAGCCATCTATTTGTTGACGTGTAACTCAGTGCTAAGAACAGAACAAGAGAGCAGGAGACATGGGGGACAGGAGGAAGGCTGTCCAAAAGTATCTAAACCCAAGTCCATCAAATCTTGCCAGAGGAGGAGATGCCTGGCAGTTCAGGCTGAATGGTCTTAACTCAGTTGTTGGTCCAACTGGGGCACTGTGTTCTTTGGTCAGAGGCAGGACGGCCAGCAAGTCATCATGCTCCTGGAAGAACTCCTACCTGACAACGGCAGGTGGTGACGAAGGGCTCCAGAGCTTTCTGGGGTTCACCTTGAGAGCTCCCCAGCCTTAGGGAGGGGACATTTACTCAGCTCAGAGCCTGGTTCCCCCTGTGAGGGCCACTGAGGCAAGCCTGCCAAAACCAGCCTTTGCATGGGAGAAGAGGCATTGTTTTCTGTCTAAATGACGTCTAAGATTAACCAAGAATCAGGACACCTTGTTAGACTCAGGAACTTGATCTGACATCATAGCCTCTGGGAACAAGAACTGCCTGCACCTGGATCTGTGGTGGCTTCCCTGCTGACTCAGATGGCAAAGAATCTGCCTGCAAAGCAGAAGAGCCAAGTTTGGTCCTTGGGTCGGGAAGGTCCCTTGAAAAAAGGGATGGCAGCCCACTCTAGTATTCTTGCCTGGAGAATTCCATGAGCAGAGGAGCCCGGTGGCCTACAGTCCATGGGGTCACAAAAGAGCCTGAAATTGAAAAGGGCTCTAATTCTTGTTGAGTGATACCAAATATTTTACACGCTTGGGTGACTTCGAAGTTCCTTCTTTTTAAAAGCAGCTCTCCAGTTCTATTTGCCATCATATTTGCATATTTTTAACTAGTCATCAAAAAACATAGTCAATGATTTCTCGGGTCTGAATTTCTGTGGAAAAAATTCAAAATGTTATTGAAATAAAGGAAGAAAAAAATGTCAGGCTTTTCATAATCCTTAACAATTCCACTGATGAACAGCAGATGGGGCTACAAAAGTCACGCAATTAAAGACATGGGGGAAAGAAAAGACCCTTTTAACCTAAAAACCAATTCGCTCAGAACCATTTCAAAGTCTAAATAAGGCTTTTCTTTGTGATTTAAAATGTCAGTGAGTCTGTTCCTGTTGGAACTTCTGCAGAGTACCCCAGCTAGCCTCACGTGTTACAATTAACTTACTTTTCAACATGGTAGATTTTGAATTCCTCCTCCTGTGTTTCTTTCATTATGTTAGAATACAATTTGCTAGACAATTAAAAAAAAAGATCTATAATTAAATTGCCATGACCCCACCTTACCCCCATATCTCAAAACCGGAATAAAACATATATTTCTACGTTCATATGCACTGTAGGCTGGCACACATTCACACATGCAAATTATTTAAATACTCATTTCTCACTAGAGTTCAGAGCCCACACCTTCACAGGCTGAAGAAATTCACGTGTCAATGCAGACCGTTCACAAACGTGTGAAAACGAGGCAAAAATGCAAAGGCTAGAGTGGAACCAGTCAGGTGAGTGTCCTGTTGGCAAAGGGCAGCGATGGAACCAGGGAAGCAAGATCTCCCTCCTGCCTCAGCAAGTCCAGCAAATAGCCCCAGATTTCCTCTGCAAACAGGACTGACAGTGTCCCTGCTGCCGGAGGCTCACCTGGCTTCAATACGTTTTCTCAGCTGCCAGCCACGTTCAGCCGGGGAGAGAGATGAGAGTGGAGCGGATGGACCGATGTCACATCTGGACAAATTCGGTCCACAAGTACGTCAGAGAACTGGAAGCGGTCAGACAGGGCTGTGCGCTGAGGTCCGCTCTCCACCCAGAGGAAGACAGGAAGCGGCTCCTGCCTCTGGCAAGGAGGAGCCGGCTGCCAAGTGAAAGTGGTGGTTTTATGCTTGTGATATAGATTGGGGCAATTAACAAGTATAAGATGTTTCAAAGTCAGCTTAAATCTGCATTTTATGTGTGCAAGTTTCCAGCTGTAACGGACCGGGGATATCAGCAGAGGGAGGGAGCCGCAGCTGCCGTGGGCTTCGGAGGTAGCAGGCAGCTGTTAAAATAGAGAGCTAATGGTGATTAATCCTTGTGATGTGTTCCAAGACTTCACAAAGAGTTCAAGACCCAACCCTTCCCACGGGGACGAAGCGAAGCAGGAGGATTCCAGGAAAAAGCAGTTCCAAGGAGACCTGGCCTGGGTGGTGGTCATCCCTGACCCGGTCATCTCATTGTTCGGTTTTTAATTCGATTGAGTATCTTTACCAGCTAAGGCGCGCCAAGTGTCTGCTAGGTCACACTTAGATAAGTTGTATGGAGTGATTTATTTATTTGCTATGTCTCCCACTATGGCCAAGCTGGGTGTTCATCACATCCCCTCTTTGGGAAGTGTTGCTGCCACTTCTGGGGACAGGAGCCATCCTCCACGGCCCAGGCTGGCCTCCCACAACAGCTTGGACCATTTCATCACTTCCTGGTGGCTTGCAGCTCTGTGCGTGGAAAGCAGCATCCCTAGCATGCCCTTAGAAAAGTCTTTTCAGAAACCGATTTCAACTTCTATCTCCCACTACGAGTATATCTGTGGTCAGATACCAGAATGCTAAGATACTCATTCATTTCTGGCATTTGATGTAACTTGGACTTCTGAAAAGGTGGCCTGTTTTCCCTGTGTTGAATACAAAAGTATATGCTATATTCTCAAGGGTGAAACCAGTGCAAAAGCCACGAGGACGCCACAAAATAAGAAAATTACATAAAACATAGCTAAAATAATATTTAAGGTAACAAGATGTTTACAATAAAAATAAGAAAAAAAAATCTTCCCAATTTTTCTACAAAATATCTCTAGGCAAGTTTATATCTTAAAGATATAAACTGAAGTTCAGGAGTAAGTAACTCAAAAGTCAAAATGGTTGATACTTCTCCAACTAGCAGTTAACTAGCTGGAAGGGACTGGCAGTGTCTTTATTTGCAGGCTTTTTATTGATTCTATCATGGAGGGTGATTCCAGCTCGAAGAAGAATGATCTGGCAATGGTCTTAGCCGGATACTGGACTCAAAAATCACCGAGAAGACACCAGCAACCCTCCAACATCTACAGCGAGACTTGATACCCAAGTTGAAGCTTCTCACACCCCGTGTCCTGGAGGAGCTGGAAGTCAGTCTTCTTTTATTTTTCAGTGTCTATGTTAACTTGCTAAGTGGGGAGGAGAAAGAAACACAACACAGGCGGCGACT